ATCAAAGTTTGATGAATTGGACAATATATGCATGTCCTGGAAGAGGATAATGCAAATATGAAACATTCCTTGATGCAGCTCCAGCAGGAAGACCAGGAAAACAGGGAGCACCACCAGAATGTTCATGGCATTTCTGAAACAGTCCCTGACTCCCAACTTCAATGTTACTTGCTGTCTCTGTTTACCACTCTGGCCCTCAAAGTCCCAGATGTTCATTGGTGCATGGATCAGACCCATAGATCGTTAGGCTCGAAGCCTCCTGAGGGTACTAGGCCCACAGATGTTATCATTCATTTTCACTATTTTATAGCAAAGAAGTCTTGCTCACCTCTACCCGCAAGAAGTCTTCCCTGGAACTTAAAGGAGGCAAGCTTCAGATTTTCAGTAATCTATCCCCCATTACTTTGGCGAAGAGATGTGTCTTGAAGCCGGTTACCACACATCTCCAGCAACACTGTATTGCTTACTGGTGGGAATTTCCTTTTAAGCCTGTTGTCTCCAAAGACAATGCCCAAGTCTTATTCCATGATCTACATAAAGTGGACTCCTTCTTTAAACAGTTGGGACTTCCTCCCCTGTTGGAAGAGGCCTTTCTGCAACCTCATATGCTCCAAGAGCTTTCCACAATCCTATTCAGCTTTTGATCCCTCCAGGAAAGCCTGAGCAGCAGCTATTTTGATGCAGAAAAACTGCTACCTGAGGGTCTCCTCTTCTTGAATTGACCCACTTGGTCGCTATGTCTTGTTGGAATGTATGTACGAGAATTTCCTATTTGTACTTTTGAATCTGTATGCACCCAACTCTGGTCAACTGTTATTTCTTTCTCAAATTCTAGACAAGTTATGCTCGATATCTACTCCATGTATGATCGTTGAGGGGATTTTAATTTACTTATGTCTCACCATAAGGATAGGAAGCTGCTCTTTGCCCCTACTCGATGGCTTTCCACAAACTGATTTGGGAGCATTGTCTCTGGTGGATCAAACAACCTCTCTATAGGCAATACTTGTTTTATTCTACTCCACATCGCATGTTCTCTCGATTGGATTGTTTTTATGTCACCACCCCTCTGATCTCCTTTTTGGTTTCTTCGGAGATCAACCAGATGACTTGGTCGGACCATGCCTCACTGTCACTTGATCTCCTTCTTCCTAACTCCTCCCCTAGGGTCTGCCACTGGCGCTTTAATGGGAGTTTTCTGCGCTTGGAACACTTTCAAGAGGTACTCTCGTGGGGTCCGGATGTTTACTTTCACTTCAGTGTTAGCTCAGTATCTTCATCCTCAACCCTCTGGGAAGCCCATAAGGCCATCATTAGAGGCCTCTGTATTTCCATGGGCACTCATTTAAAGAAGGCCTCTGTTTGTGCCAGACAATTCATTTTGTGCCAACTATCCTCAGCCGAACATCATTTGCTAGATAAACCGTCTATTCCTTGGCTCCAGAAAGTTTCACATATACGTAATCAAATTTGGGCTCTTGACCTGCATAAAACTGCTCAGTCTCTCACCTGTGTTAGGCAAAAATTCTATGAATTCTCTAATAAACCACACCGTATGCTCGTGAATAGACTTAAATCTCAAACGTCCCCCTCTTTACCGGGCCATCTACTCCAGTCCGATGGCAAACCCACATATGACCAACAAGCTATGGCAATAATTTTTGGGGAATACTATGAGAAGCTTTATAATTGCCTAACCCCTGAAATTCACCATCCCCTTCAGATGACTGCTTTTGAAGCCTTTTTTGACTCCTTACATTTGCCGTGTTTGTCACCCTCCGATGTTACAGCTTTGAACATAGGAATTTCCATTGAATAATTATTGGATGTTGTTAAGCACCTTCCTACTCACAAGTTCCCAGGACCGGATGGTCTCTCTTACTCATATTACAAGTCCTTTATGGGCGACTTAGCCCCTCATCTTCTGACTTTGTTTTGGCACCTCCTGAAGGGGTCTCTCCCACAGGATGATTTTACACTTGCATATATTTCTGTGATCCCCAAGCCAGATAAGGACCATTCCCTTCCTGATAATTATTGCCCCATAGCCTTATTAAACTCTGAATACAAGATTTTCAGGAAAATACTAGCCAATCGATTGGCCAAATGTATCTCTAAGCTTAAGAGACCAAGTGGGCTTTGTCTCGGCTAGACACGCTGCAGATAACACCAGGAGGACCATTGACTTAATTAACCTTGTCAATAAGTCTCTGAATCCTACACTCTTGTTGAGTTTGGACCCCCAAAAAGCATTTAACCAATTAATTTGGCCATACATGTTTCTAGTCTTAGAGAGATTTGGGTTTAGCGGTCTGTTTGTGGCTGCTTTGAAAGCCCTTTACTCCGCTTCCTTTTCCCAGGTCAAATTATGGTCATTCTTATCCCTTTCTTTTCGGATGTCCAATAGTACATGCCAGAGATGCCCTCTTTCCCCTTTGTTGTTTATCCTCTGTTTGGAACCCCTGGCTATAGCTATTAGATCCAACCCGGATATCCATGGAATACGCACCCACAATAGGGACTTTAAGCTGTCTTTGTTCGCTGATGATATACTGCTGACACTGACGGAGTCCCACATTACTCTGCCTGTTTTACATCATACTCTACAGCTCTTTGGTGCCCTGTCAGGTTATTAAGGTTAACGCATCGAAAACTGAAGCATTACCGCTCCACATACCCTCTGCCATTTTATCTTCTCTTCAGCCAAATTATCCCTATCGCTGGTGCACCCACTCCTTGAGGTATTTAGGTACCAACCTTACCTCCTCTTAACACTCCCTTTATGAAGCTAATTTGCCCCCCCTTTTTCATGCTATTTCCCAATGCTTAAAATCTTGGGACAACCTTGCCATCTCCTTCCTTGGCAAGATTAATGTGCTAAAAATTACCATACTGCCCAAGGTTTTGTATCTGTTTGAGACGCTTCCTGTTCCTATTCCCATGTCCAAGCTGTGTTCCCTTCAAAAATCCTTCCTCCACTTTATCTGGCATAGTAAATCTCATCGAATTGCCCGTATCATCCTTCTCTCACCTTGATATAGGGGAGGTCTGGAGGCTCCAGACCTTAAATCCTATTATTTGGCCACTCACCTCCATACTCTTGACTCGTGGTCCTCTAAGCGCCACCCTAATAAATGGGTCGAGATTGAATGGCTGCAATTGAGTCCACTGCACCCTTGTATTCTACTCTGGTCTATGACCAACATTGCAAATGCCTCTCACAAGCATCTCCTGCTAGGGCCCATGCATTTTACATTGTCTATATGGAGGAGGTGCAGGGATAGATTCGCCCTGTCTTCTCTTTGTTCACCTCTGAACAATGTTATACTTATCCCTATCCCAGGTAGTTTAACCCTAGCCCGTATAAGTCCCTGGGCCAAAGCCAACCTATTTCAGTTGCAACACCTGGTCCACCCAGTGACCCGAAAGCTTAGACCCTTTTCTGAGATTCAAAAGGCAACTCATATGCCTCCTCATCTGTATTATGTTTACCTACAGATACAACACTTCTTCTCCTCCAAGATTCCCTCTCTGACCCTAGAGAAGCCTACTAATGTATGTGCATTCTGAGTCCATACCAATGGGGCCCTATATCCTCTATCTATAAGTGGCTTCAAGATAACTGTCCCCTTTCACCTGATACACACCTTTATATGCGCAAGCAGCCCCGAATCCTTCAACGTGATATTACCTTAGATCAATGGAGCAGGATGTGGGAGGCTGCCTCTAGGTCTTCTATATGTGTAGTATATAAAAAAAACACTTATAAAATTCTGATGTTTTGGTATAAGACTCCTGAGGTCTCCATGCTCACAATCTGAGTGTTCCTCCTGTCTGCTGGTGACCTGATACACACCTTTATATGCGCAAGTGGCCCCGAATCCTTCAACGTGATATTGCCTTAGATCAATGGAGCAGGATTTGGGAGGCTGCCTCTAGGTCTTCTATATGTGTAGTATATAAAAAAAAACACTTATAAAATTCTGATGTTTTGGTATAAGACTCCTGAGGTTCTCCATGCTCACAATCCGAGTGTTCCTCCTGTCTGCTGGTGATGTGGTGAGGAAATTGGCACTCTTTTCCGCATTTTATGGATTTGCCAACACATTGCACCTTTCTGAAGAGAGGTCCTTAGCCTTTTGCAGCTACTTTTACGGGTCCAAATCCCATTTGAGCCCATCCACTTTTTACTGGCCTGCCTTGTACAGGCCTCTCCAAATTTGCCAATAAACTTTCCTCTCATGTTTTAACAGCGGCCAGGAAAACCATTCCTATGACTGGCTATCTACTATGCTCCCTACACGGTTGGAAATGGTGAATGTTATCGCTGAGATTACAAGAATAGACTACCTCACTGCTATGCATGCTAATTCTGTCTCATTTTTTTAAGCGGTTTGGGAACCATGGGATCTTTCTGTTTCCGATATGTCCACTCAACTGTCTGATAATGCTGGCTAATTCACTGTCATGCGCTGACATTGTATGTATATGCACTTCGTCGACGAGCCTATTTCTTTTTGTTCTTTCATTGATTTGTGATTGTTACTTTGCAACTCTATACAACTCTTTTTTTGATATAAATCCTTTAAAACTCAATAAAAAATAAATTATATATAAAAAAAAGGGTGGAACATAGAACATGTTCCCAAATGCGAACTTATCCTTTAAAGTGTGCCAACCATTAACCAGTTGCCAACTGCAGATAGCCGAATGACAGCTACACTGCAGCCGGCCAGTTCTGGGAGGGAGTTATATGACGTCCTCCCAGAACGCGCACTCCTGCGCACCCGGTGATCTCCGTGATCGTTGTGTCCTACGGACACAGCTGATCACGTGATGTGGTAAAAGGCCAATCACATGTGATCAGCCGTGTCCAATGACACGCTGATCACAGGGAAATGTTCTCGGCTGCACTTTCCTCATGCTGTCAGATCGTGAGGAAAGTACTGCTGAGAACCGGCAGTTGTTAGAGCTGATGATCAGTGCCCTGATTATCGGTGCCCAGCAGTGCCACCCACCAGTTCTGCCCACGTGTGCCCAGCAGTGCACCCACCTGTGCCCAGCAGTGCAACCACCTGTGCCCAGCAGTGCCCACCAGTGCCACCCAGCAGTGCCACACACCTGTGCCCACCAGTGCCAGCCAGTAGTGCCACCTATCTGTGCCCAGCAGTGCCACCCACCTGTGCCCACCCACCTGTGCCCACCAGTGCCACTCACCAGCTCCCATCAGTGCAGCCCAGCAGTGCTGCCAGTCAGTGCCCAGCGGTTTTGCCAGTCAGTGCCCAGCAGTTGCGCCAGTCAATGCCTAACAGTGCCGCCAGTCAATACCTAGCAGTGCCGCCAGTCAGTGCCCAGCAGTAATGCCAGTCAGTGCCACCTATCAGTGCTGTCTATCAGTACCCATCATCAGTGCCGCCTATCAGCGCCACCTATCAGTGCCGCCTATCCGTGCCACCTCATTAGTGCTGCCTATCAGTGCCACCTATCAGTGCCCTTCAGGGCTGCCTATCAGTGCCCATCAGTGCTGCCTATCAGTGCCCATCAGTGCTGCCTCATCAACGCACATCAGTGAAGGAGAAAAATTGCCTGTTTGCAAAATTTTATAATAGAAACAAAGAAACTTTTTTTTTCAAATTTTTTTCTTTTTTTTTTGCTTATAGCGCAAAAAGTAAAACATTCAGCGACGAGTGAATACCACCAAAAGAAAGCTCAATTTGTGAGAAAAAAATTATAAAAATTTCATATGGGTACAATCTTGCATAACCCGCGCAATTGTCAATCAAAGTGCGACAGTGCTGAAAGCTAAAAATTGGCCTGGTATGGAAGGGGGTATAAGTGCCTGGTAGGCAAGTGGTTAAAGAGCTCCAACAATTTAGCCAGTGAAAAGTCAAGACTAAAGATTGCCCCTTTACCATAGCTGCCCTAAAGTCTTTACCCATTTGCTAGCTAATAAGGTACCTTACCACTGCCCATTCATTAGAGTGCACTCAAATCTAGCTTAGAGTTATAATTATTCTTGCTGTGTTTAGAGTTCATATATATTGTTTATTGCTGACTTGCTAGTTGATATATTGGGGTTTATTTACTAAAGCTGGAGAGTCCAAAATTAGACTCCCTTCTGCATAGAAACCAATCAGCTTCTAACCTCAGCTTGTTCAATGAAGCTTTGGCAATGAAACCTGGAAGCTGATTGGCTTCTATGCAGAAGGGAGTCTGATTTTGGACTCTCCAGCTTTAGTAAATAAACCCCATTGAGTCTGACTAATTATGTAGAACCTTATTTATTTCTTTTCTACTTGGGTTTCTACCTTGTTTAACAGACTGTGTCCAAACTTGGCGGCTGTGTGTTCAACCCTATTTAAACCGCCATTTATGCTAATCCGTATCAATAGATTAAGCGGGTTTAACACTAAACGGTGTGTTTGATTACTGGCAATACGTCACAGCCAGGCAAAAGGTATTTTACACTTGTGTTGTTACTTGTGCTAGCAGTGATTTTATTCAACCAGGTGTGCAAGAGGGGCTGCGGGTGTTCTTGGAGCAAAGGCACAGAACAGAGAACGCAAGAATACCAAGGGGCGGACTGACCATTTGGAAACTTGGGCGCTGCCCGAGGGCCCGGGGTCAGTAGGGGGCCCCATGAGATGACCCTGGTACTTTTTGCATAGGCTTTTTTGAGTTTGGGCAAGGACACAGGGGCCCCACGATCCCCTATTGCCCGGGGACCCTATTAGTTGTCAGTCCACCTCTGGTTTTACTAATCCTACATAATTTAGGTCAACAGCCAAACTGGCAACAGTACTTCCAATTACATCCAATAAGTCATCAACCTAATGACTTAAAGAAAACCCTCTTTATTTCATTAGAATATGTTCCTTATACGACAATGTTTTGTTTTGTATCCTTTAGTTCATTTACTTACTTACATACAGTACTTTCTCCTCTAGTCATCACATCCTCATCTTTTCTACCAGGCTATCATGAAGAACAGTAAGAAATGCTTTTGCATAATCCAAATGTATTATAACAGTATTTCTATTTACTAGCTTATTGGTAATCGCCCCGGGGTGCCTATTGAAGTCTCTCAGACAAAATGCATTGGATTTTGTGGTGATGCCTGAAACAATATTTATGTTTTTAACCTCTTCACGCCTACAGTACGCAAATATACGTCCTCTCTGCAGCTGGGCCTTGACGCCGAGCTGCCGCATTTTTGAGTACCATTTGTAAACAAACGTGCTGAAAGCACACACCCTGCAAGCTCCCAGCACATGTGTTGGCGTCATACAAAGTTGCTGGTATTTGATTATCCTCTACTTAAAATATGTGTGTATACCATGGTATACATTATATTCAAGTAATCTACACATAACAAATGTCAGCCCATTTGCGCACTTGTGCCCAGACTCTGTACATTAAAGTATTGACATATTCTGAAGAAGCAGTAAAAGCACTTTAAAATGAGCCCTCATTGACCTCCATAGCTGTAGGCATTGTGTAGAAATTGTCAATCAAATTTTCAATAGAGCAACTGAAATCTCAGCTCTTATTTTCTATAGCAGCAGAAAAGTGGCAGCCTGCCAGCTTTTTAACGGAAACAAACACCAGGTGTTTGTGAGCTGTTAGAAACTGACTGAGACCCAACTGCAGAGTCTTTGCTATGACTTTGAGAAGTGAGTGAGGTCTTGTTTTTAAAGTTCTTGTACTGATTGTTAACCTTCTATCTACCAGGCCCAGTCTCTTCTTTTTTTACATCAAGTTGCCAGACCATTTTCTTTTAGTTTTTGCTTTTTTGTCATTTTCCACCTTTCTCACTTACAGTGGTGAAAGTTAGTCAAAGACCTCCATGTGTTGTCTAAAAGTACATAGCCTGCAGAATTAATCTTTTCCATCTGGCCATTGCATATAAATGCTCAAACATGTTCGATCTTTCCCGATGGGGATGGATATACGTGTACGCAAAAACAAAAGAATAGTGGTGCTTGGAGATAGGAGAGGGGAAGGGGAGTTGGGTTTAACAAAAGTGTATATGGTATAAGTCTTTTGAGTCCATAAAAGCACTGCATGAAGGCTGCTGACTGAGAGAGTGAGAAGCACCTTTATAAACAAATCAGCAAAGAGACAGTAGCGCCATCTGAGTGTACTATAAAAATCACACTGCTATAATAGTAGTATAGAAACTCACAAGATTAAAAGCAAAGTAGCACTTATCAGACAGCTGCCCTCGCACTTGGCACATCCAGATCACTGTAGATAAAAGGATCTGTAGGCTCGGCTGCTCTGGTGGTGTCCAAGGCTCCTGGGCTTTTCCAATCCATAAAGGCTGACAGTCATGACCTCAGGCTGGAGGAGGCGACAGAGGGGGGCCTCCCCTTCTGTCACCTCCTCTGGCCTGAGATCACAGCTGTCAATGGATTGGAGAAGCCCTGGAAATAGAGGAGGAAATATTATGAGCTCAGTTTTGGATAAGTTGAGTTTGAGGAAGTGGTGTGACATCCATAATGTATGTATGTTAGTAAATTACTGATGCATAAGGATACTAGTGGGGTAAGCTGAGGAGTGGAAAGATAGTAATGCATATCAACAGCATAGGAATGGTATTGGAAGCAGAGGCATAGCTAGGGGGGGCAGGGGGGTACATATGTACCCGGGAACCAAGGTACAGGGGCACCAAAATGATGCTTACAACCAGGGGCAAATTTGCCGCGAGGCAAACAAGGCGTTTGCCTAGGGCGGCACTTTTTAGGGTGGTGGCGCGGTGGCGCTGCCCCCTCTTCCAACGGAAGGGACGCTTAGTACAGGGGCGGGCAGGGGGCTGCTCTGTCTTACCTGGCTCCGTGTCCCAGTCCCACGACGATCCAGTCCAGGAGGCACTGCTGGAGAAGGGGTAGAGAGGTCTGCAGGTCCGGTGTCTTCTTTTCCCTGGACGCGATGTGTGTGGGCGGGATGACATGCCGCCCCTATCATCTGGCCACATCCTCGGGATCACTGGACAGCCTATGGCAGCTTGTACCTCCCTCTGCAAGCTCCGCCTCCTCACCGGTGATTGGGAGCCAGAACTGTAGCTCAGGAAAGGCACACAGGCACCCAATCACCTGCGAGGAGGCGGAGCTTGGAGAGGAGGAGCCGAGCAGCAGCAGCACGAAGATCGAGTGAGGGAGCAGCCGGAGCAAATGAAGAAGACAGCTGATCAGTAAGTGTGCTGTGCAGATGGTGCTGCTGCAACCAGGTATGCTGGCTGTGGATGGGAGAGGGAAGCAGCCTAGACTGGAGCAGGGGTCAGCAAGGTAAGTGTCATTGGGGTCAGTGGGAGGAATAGTGCCCATCATTGGTGTCACTGATGTGATTAAACGGGTAGGGGGTCTGGGGCGCCAATTTTATAGTTTGTCCCTTGGCGCAAAATATCCTAGCTATGCCTCTGATTGGAAGCCATGGGAGGCTATCAGCTGAGGTTCAAGGAGATTCAAGGAAAGAGCCTTGGGGAGCCCTAACAGAAAAAGGAAGAGAAGAGGAGGAAGCAAGTGACACTGAAGGTGCAATGAGATAGATAAGATGAGAACCAACAATGAGTACAATCACAGAGTGGAGTTTTTTGAGAAGGAGGGAGTGGTTAGCTGTTTCAAAGTCAGCAGAGAGGTCCAAGAATAAGAGTACTGAATAGTGACTATTGGTTTTATACATTTGGCAGTTTGGTAATCTCCTCTATAGTAACGGTTATACAAAGTAAATATTGAGTATACAGGTGAACATGAAATGTTATGTGCCGGAGATATCTGTAAAGTGGGGATCTCATCATGAAATAATCTCATTCTTATTTCTTAAAGTGATTTGAAATCTCCTAGGCATTGTTATGAATTAGTGGGTGAAGGCAGTAAAGTACGAAGTAGGTTGTTAAAGGCAGAAAAGAGTTAAGGGGGACTGCGTGAAATGGTGTTAATAAGTATGATAAATTGTATCTGTTTGGTAGTGTGGAGGCAGGATTTCTATTTTTGGAGAGCAGATTTATACTGGGTGAGGGTTTGCTTGGCTTTAATCTAGGTCTTATGCCACAGACGCTCAAGAGTGCGGCTACATTTTTGTAGCCCTCTGGTTTCATCTGTTTGCCAATGTTGTAGTGACTGGGGCCTGATTCTGTGTAGTGTGTGTGTGTGGGGGTGGGGGTGAGTGTGTCTGGGGAGGATTACAATAAACTGTTGTAGACAGAAATGGCTAAGTCGGGGCAGGACAGGGGTGAGATTTTATCATAGAGGTAGTCTGTTGCAGAATAGAGAAGAGAAGGGTTAAAGTAGCAAAGGTTTCTACAGTTAACTGTTAGGCATTTGGAGGAAAACAAAGTGGAAGACAGGGATAAAGTGAAGCTGATAAGCTATTGATCATAGAAGGGGAAAAGAATGTTCGATGTTGCAAGGATTGCATAGGTCAGAGAATACAAGGTCAAGGGAGTTGCTACCAGAGTGAGTAGATGTATGTATCCATTGTTTTAGGTCAAAAAAGTTTAGAAGTTGCAATCGATCAAGTCAGAATTCCTTAGCACAGCACACAGCCTATTTGCTTCTAATAAATCAACCCCTCCTGTATGTCTCCACCATAATATTTGGCTTTGGAAATTCATTTGTGAAAGAAGATTAAATGTTAATTTAGGATATCAGCTTTAGTTTGACTTCAGTATTTTCTAATTTATATATTGAGCTATCTAATGATTCCAATAATTAACATTTAATACCTTCCCAAACTCCATTATGTTGTCCTTGTCACCTCTCCAGAATTCAAATATATTGCAGATATACCTTAACTGCTAGAACATGGCACAGGTATACTGAAGCTGAAAAAAATAAAATGTGTTTTCATCACCCCAGATACACAGCCATAAGTGGGGTACAGCTAATGGCCATGATATAATCCTGTGCTTGGTGGTAATGGTAAGAATCAAACTTTAAAGTGTTGCATATCAATAAAAAGTGCAATAGTTAGATCAAAAATTATAAAGGTATTCTACTTTTCATAATACCCAAAAAGCTTCTAAAGACTTCCTGCTGAGGTATACTACAGTGCAGTGGCATCCCGAGGCAGGTGCGGGGGGTGCACGCCACACCGGGTGACACCTACTGCAGGGGGTGACACCGCACCCGCTCCATGAAAAGGTAAGTTGTAAAGTAAGCCGGCGATCCCCGCAGGATGAATCCGATCCATCCTGCGGGGATCGTCGGCTTTCTTTACAACTTACCTTTTCGTGGAGAGGGTCCGGTGTCATCCCCGTATAGGTTTCATGCCAAAGATCCCCACAGGAAGGATCAGATCTGTGGATTGGGGAGCATAATGGATCAGACTCCGATCCATTATGCTCAATCCGCAAATCCAATCCATTCTGCGGGGATCATCGGCGGGAATGTCACCAAGTGTTACCGCACTGGGTAACACCAACCCTAGGGACGCCCCTGCTGCAGTGTAAAGCTTCAATATTTAATGTCTCAAAATAGGTCCATGGAGGGACAATTAGACATGTAACTGCTCTCGTAGGTGCGGCATAATATGCACGACATGGGACTGAAGATATCACTCAATGTACAGTATATGCTAGTTGTGAAGGCTAGAAGGATCACTAAAGAATTGTATCTTCAGTATTGCATAAATACAGATAGATTTGCAGACACAGGGACATGTTTTAGGATGAATAACTGACCATGAGGCCTGCTTTGTACACAAAGGAGCACAATGTTTAAGTCCACACCAAATAACTGCAAGTAATTGCCC